GATTACCTGTGAAATTTTTTAAGCTAAAGAGGCTAAAGCTAAAGCTAAGGCGCGTGTTGGAGTACGCGATTGCGCGCGCGACTGATTTCTTTCTGTCTTTCCCTTTTCCTTCCAAAGTCTTTACACGCGCGCTCGATCGCGCACGATTGCTGAATCACGCACGATAAAATGTCTGTGTACAGCCCGCTATTCTCGCGATAGCCTTCGCGAACTCGCGCAATCACTCTCACCACAAATGTACTATTAAAATTCACGTTGACCGCTCGACCCTTAGAGTGTATATATAGCTTTTGGCCTGATGTACTCGTATTACACTATCTGCTTAGACTTCGTGGAGTAATGCAGTCCCGACGAATATGGTAGAAAAGAATATTCCGACCATGTTACGATCGTCAAATTAGATAGATGGCCATCTGACAAATTAGTTCTAGTATTAGATGGCCCGTCTTCCTTACCCTAGTAGAATTGGCCCGGAAATGAAGTCAGTATCTGACAACCCTAGCCACACAGGTGACGGCTGGTGGGCTTCCCCCTCCTCTTCACCACCTCTGCCTCTGTGGTTTTGCAACTTCAGACACGTGCACGCGAATTAAATGTAACAAGTTTAATATTTTTTTCTGTTCCCAGAAATAACCAATGGCAGTGCAGCAATGGCGACTGCGTGCCCTTGGAAGCAAAATGCGACGGCACTCTGGACTGTGCCGATGAAAGTGACGAGTCTGAGACGTTTGCAAGCTGTCATAGGAAAACTAAGTAGGCACAATGGCGTTTTCCTATTTTTTTAAAATTTTAACTTATGAATGTATATTTTCTCTCTAGTGGGTGAAATTCTATAAACTGGACCTAATTGGCCACCATAAAGCGTGAAACACACAGAGAGCGGGTGCGGGTGTGGGTCGGGACCGCGGCGGGTCTAATTTTGTATATTTGTAGTAGCAGTGGATCACCTTGTGAAGGAGTTCGTCCAGGGACGTACTGCCACCATACCTATTTCTGCCGCCAAGCAGTAATGTCAGCATTAATGTGGTCCGGTTTTGAAGGGTAAGGGTGCCGGTAAAATTACAGGCACATGGGACCTGTCAACTTATGTCAGAGGGTAACGGGCGCAGTGGCAGTGCCCCGCAGATTTTTGAGATTTAAATTTCTGAGTGGCATTGCAACTGTTATGGACAGGCGTGTAGCTTACCATCAGGCGTAAGACTTGTTCGTCCCGTCACTTGACATAATAATAAAAGAAATGTTACAATGTGAATGCGACCGTTTTTTTTGTGCTGCTTCCGTAACGCTAATAAAGGTAGAAAATTTTGTTTCATTATTCGACAGCGGCGTGGTTTATCCGTTAAAATTTGCGTTGAAAATGGAACATGGTCGCTTGGGCTCCGATATGTCTTACTCATTTGCAATAGGATTGTTTGGACGTATATCGCACAACATCTTTTTAATACCGGATTCACGAATCTTTCACTTGTGTTTTTCGCTTGCTTGCGTCTCGCTTCGCGCATCGCAAAGATCTGTCGCGTACGCGCAGGCAGGACCGGCCGCTTGTTTTGCGTGGGATTTCTTTGTGTTGCGTTGTGTAAGTTTGATATCTAGAATAGCTTGATATTTCCACGCAAGCAACAGGAAACGTTTGCGGAGCACAGCACCATTGGCGAATCACAAATCAGCAGCCGGTTCGAGAGTGTCGACAACCAAAACAAAAGCAAGCGCCGCGCATGCGTGCTAGTCCCTCCGCAACGCAAAGCGGAAGACTCGTGAACGCCTCTGACGTAGATTTCTACCCCGTGTGCCCAGCCAACTGTAACTAATAACTTTTATTATAATAGACTAGAGATGCTGCAGACGTCCGCGCCTAAATCCGCACCCGCAGATCATCGAAAGCAGATCATTATCTGCTTTTGCAGCCGACATAGTTCTATTCGGACAGCCAAAGTGAATAGACGTGCACATGCGCTCCCGAGCCACTCGCTATTCCCGAACCTTTTTTTTTGCATCACTGTTCACCGCGTCTATTGTCCCTAACCGCGCGAGTTGTCTTACCGACAGTCAACTATTACGAAACTAAACAAAACCAACACTCTAAAAACGAAATCTAAAAGTATCGGTTATCATTAAAAGTGCTTTTTGAAAAGTGTAAATTAATTACTCAATGCATCAAATTAATTACTCAAAAATAACATCCTGAAACCAAAATATAAAAGTGTCGGTTAACAGTAAAACTGCAATAAGCTTTGTATAAGTTGTTCGGAAAGTGCAATGCAAGTCTCATCTACAATCAAATCTACATAGAGATCGAAACATTCAAAACAAAAGGGCCGGCGACAAGCGAACCTGCTACCACCTGAAACCTGAACGTAACACACACGCGAGACCACGAAACCCGGTGAGAGACACCCAAATCTTTTCTTTAAACCAACTGCAGGAAAGTAAGAATCAATGGTTACTAGTAAATTCTCCGACGCTTTCATAAATCTACTACTGTTTTATCAGAGACGCCGTTGAAACGCGTCATACGACGATTTCCATAAATTAAGTTATTTCCTACTACATACATTTCGGAACCAGTGCATTATAGTCACACGCTAACCAATTGGAAAATTAAATGAGACTGTCTAGGTATTAAAAAAGTAAAGTATAGCTGACAATAGACATAGAAACAATTTTCCAAATACAACAAAAGCATCGACAATCAAGTAAACGACCCACCATCTGAACGAAGACAAAAACTCAAAACTGGCTATATGCAAACTTCCTATTGCAAAGACTGGATGCGACTATAGCGGAACTAGGAAATTACCAAGCAGCTTTCCTCTAAGATAGATCAAAACGACCACATTTATGCGCTCAGGCGAATACTTGATGAGACTTGATGAATGAGTCTTGGAAGCAAGGCAAACGTATTTAAACATACTTACATTGGACATTGACAAAGCTTTTGACTCTGTAAACCTAAACGCACTCCGGGATATATTTCTTACAAGAAGGATTAAAACAGACAGAACTAACTAAAGATAAGGATAAATTTAGGCAAGAATTTGAAGAAATACATAAAATTCCGGAAACCGACACCGAATCAGAAGGGGAAAGAAATGATACAACTCGAGCTCTATGGACGAGAACACATCCTCATCCAGGAGAATCCACTAAGGCTACACGAAGCCCAACACCATCCACGCTCATTCCTAACAACACTACCTAACTACCTACCCAAATAACTGACATTCCCTATTGCCTACTTTCTGTCACACGCTGCATAGCCGGCAGGAATCTGGCCACCGGTTGCAGCTGGTTGATCTTCCCCTCCACAATCCCGGGCGTGTCACTCCCTGAAACTGTGCTCCCTGGTATATCCGGCTTGTCCGGGTCAGATTTACTCTGGCTGGGTGTGGTGCCAATGAGCAATGAGCAAATCTGCTTTCCGACATACGAATCAAAAGATGCATAGTTTTTGCGGATACGGATATTTTGAAGGTGACGACAAGATCGTTGGGAGCAGGCATCACCCAAAGCGCGTGTCGAGTACTAGTGTTAATAATTAGCCAATCAGAGATTGAGAATCCGGCAACGTATAATGCAGGCAAACTGTTTGTTTTATTAACCATAAATATTGAATTTACACTGACTCTATTCGCATAATTCTTTATGCGAATAGAGTCGACACACGACATCCTTAAAAACTTTAAGTATTAATAAATGCCGTAATATTTCTATGTCTTCTATCTTGCATCTCTTTTGTAACAAAATTATGTAAAATTATTAACTTTTACTTAAATTAATGATAATTCAATGATCATCAAATCCACAATGATCCACACTTTTTTTTAAAGAAAAAAAAAAAGTTTTTTCAACAATATGAAGTGAACATTGTTTTTTCTGATCTAAATCACGTATTTCCAAACAAACATTTTCTCCACATCCGCATTTGCAGATTTCAACAGTGAAAAGTTAACATCCGCATCTGCAGATATCGTCATAACCCACATCTGCAGTACTCAGTCGAATTTAAGGTCTACTGAAAAGCAGATTTACAGTTTGAATGTTTTCTATTTGTATTACATAAAGTTTTTTCTACGTGCTGTTAATGGCATGTCCGTGTCAAGGTGTGGTGACTCCTTTAAAGATTTTTCATTTTCCATTACCAGACCGTACTTAGGTTAGCTGTTCTGATTTTTAAAATAATTTACTTCCACAGACCAGTATCAGGGCGCAATTGTGTGGTGCCCCCTTATCCCGACAATGGTCGTTACATTTTTTGGAGTGTACCCAACGCCTCTCCAGGACAGCTCTACTTCAGTTTGCTTCTGAATGTGTCGTGCAATCTAGGTTAGTTTCTTTTTATTTATTCATTATTATGACATTACAAAAACATAAACCGATCCTCATCATCAGGCATGACACTTTTAGTGATGGAACGAATAAGTCTTGCGCCTGGTGATAAGCTACATGCCTACCCGTTACAGTTGCAGTGTCATTCAGAGCTTTGAATCGCAAAAATCTGAGGGGCACTGCTACTGCGCCTGTCACCCTGAGACATAAAGTTAACAAGTCCCATTCGCCTACAGTTTGACATCGCTGAGGTTTTTGATCGGGTTTGGCACAAGGTATTTCTATTGAAGCTATCATCTTGTTGGGTATCAGAAGGGATATACAATGTGTCGCCAGCTTCTTGTGTAAGCCGAGCATAAAAGTCGTTGTTGATGGATTATTCGCGGACATCATGTTCATAAACGCCAGCGTTCCGCAAGGATCTGTGCTGTCACCTACATTGTTCATCCTTCGTATCAATGATATGTTACTAATTAGTAACATACATTGCTATGCGGATGCCTGTACCGATGATGCCCATTATACAAGTCAGCAAGTGATAGAAAACGGACTTCAACTAGTGTCCAAAATCGAGACTTCTTTGAAGCAAATTTGTACATATGTTTGTAGCGCTAAAGTTCCAGAAAAAGTTTTCTCGCACCTTTACAACGAAAGTGACCCAATTCAAAAAATGAATAAAATGAGTTAATATCGTAAAACAACTTTAAAGGCATTGCTCACAAGGTTGTTAATCTGGAACTGACCTATTAAGGCTCGAATAGCACTGATTCACTTTATCACTCACTCTTTCATTTTATTCTTTCAGTTTGAAAACGCCACTTCTGTGTCGGAATATCAACGCCGCATTTAGTATTGAATCTGCACTTACAAATACGACACCCTGACATTGAGTCATCTTCGTTTCGCAAATAGTCTTTAAAAATCATTACATTTTTACGAACGCGACTTGCTTTATTACTTTGAGGGTTTTCTTTCACAATTTAAGCGACTTGATAAGGTTGTAACACGTTGCTTAACTGGTTCAAATGAAAGAGACGATACGTCTTAACAAAAAAGTTTAGTAAAAAAGTGACCTTATGGCGACTAGTTTTTGTAAATTATGTTTTTAAATTGTTAAACTTAAAATAATCAAAAACAATTTTTGCATTTGTAAAGGTGAATGTTTCATCATTATTACATAATATAACATATAACAAGGCACAAACTTTAGTACTTCAAGAGCAATAAATCAAATGTTATGAAAATGTCACAACGTCAAATCTTATTTTGCGTATGCCCAAAAAGTTGAAATTTTGTATTGGGTCACTTCATTGTAAAGGTGCGTTATGTCGACTTAATAAGAGCGACAAAGACGTGTGTTTCGCTATCATTATCTGTTTTTACGTTAATCAAACTTTCTATTTTCAGGGTACGACGTGATTGGAAAAAACTTTGCATTTTGCGTGGGTGGGATGTGGTCTATGGCTCCACCCAAATGTGTCCGTGGTGATTATTCGCATATATTTTTATACCTTTTATAGATGTTCTTTTCTATTTCAAATAACGGGACGAACAAGTCGTCGCCTGGTAAGCGACAAGCCTACCTAACTTACCTTACCTAACTTTAAATCGCAAAGACCTGTGCGGTGCTGCCGTAAAATTGGCAAGTCCCTTGTGTAGGTATGTTGTTTCACCAGCATCATTCAAAACCAGAAGGTAGCACTTCCCTGGATGAACTCTTTCACAAGGAGCTTTGTTGCTCCTAAAATCGATAATAACGTCGAACCAGAGTTTTCATAAAAAAGTTAATTATGAATTTGGTGATAGTCAACAAAAATTTTAAGGGAGATATAAATAAAATTGGGCCCATACAGAGATGGGCAGTGGGTTAAAACCCAATCAACCTGCACGGATTTTAACCGAGTTTTTACCCAAATCGACGAGTTTTACCCATTTCGGCCCAAAACCGTGGGCGAAAACATTATATGTGTAAAATAATACGTAATTTGGTATAATTTCATACGTGTTAGAAATTTCAATATAAAAAATCTTTTAGAGACGAAAAAGAGGCAACTCCACACAATTTTTTTTTACACTCCACCTTTTTAATCCTGTACACTCTCACTTCACTAAGGATGCACATTACGATTCGATGTTCATAAAAATCGATACACGTAAATTCGTTATCGAGTTTTTGTATTAGATTCATTTAAATACAATTTTCAAGCGAGTCGATTCAATAGAGAGGCGAAATGTGTAAGCAAGTTGTTGGAACTCGTGCCCAACGTATGTAATGTAGAATGTATGTTTGATGGGAATTGTATGTTTCCCTGTGTACACTGTGTGTGTAGGTTGGTGTAAAATATGTAAGGCATCGTACTGTCCGAACGTCTTTATTGTACTAAAAATATTCGTACATAAAATGTAAGCGCGACAATGCGCGCGATCAGCAACATATTTAGGTTAGGTTACGACATATCTAATGTACTGCTCGCACATGCTCCCGACTTAAGATATAAAAAAGTAAAGATATATAAAAATAAAGTAAAGTTTGTTAATGTAAATCAATACAAAAAAGCATTTTTCTTAAGTTCACATAGGAGACGTCGCCTTGTCTTGCACATGTTTATAGAAAATAACAGCTGGTGCCGACTCCGATGATCTATTAATGTCCTCTTCAATATCTGTCCTGACACGTGGTAATGACAGGTGACGGCTTAGCCTTCGAGGACCTGCACCTGCCGCCACCTCACGTGTCTGGCGGCGTTTCTTTATTGCTCTTACGCCCCTAACAGATATTAGTGTAACGATAATTGTTGTTAAAATAATGTAGGTAATATAATGTTGGGTATCGTGACTGTCGATTTGGGTATTTACTGCTTCTTGCTGGGCCTTGACGACGTCAATTTTCCATTTCAATATCTTCAAAGGTTCCGCATGATTTTCAGGAAAAAGCGTTATATTCAATCCAAGAATGATTTGGTTGACTTCAGATTCTTGCGGTAGCTCCATTGCCTCATATCCATTTTTTCTCATTTCACTTTGAAAGTTGATCTGTGAATGAATAATTACGTTGTTTTCTTTCAATATGCATCCTTCCGATAATGTTATGACACCTGTGTGATGTAATATCTGGGTCAGTGTTCCAGCTGGGTAAAATATGCGCGCGCTGCATTCTTTGCAACATGAGAATAGCCACGCGTCACGGCTGTGCAACTGGATCCACTGGTACCGGCACTGTGATAACGCTATGCGACAATTTTATATCTTTCTATTGTTTATGATTTGAGCTTCGCAAATTGATGCCGGCTTTATCGTAAATGGGCAAATTTAATGAGCAAATTAATTGTTTCTCATTTAAATGTACACATAACCTCATGACGTCACTGTCTAATGTTATTAATAAATCTTTTCTTATGTTGACTGCCATGTATTCTGATGTAGGAATGACTGTCCTAGTTATATCTCCCTCTATTTGCTGTATAGGAATAATTCTGCTTAGTCCACACAGTTCATTCGAGATGATCGGTAGATTTACTTCCATCATAACAAATTTGTCTGTAACTCTAACATTTACTCTGGATACATTTACATGTTACGGATGCAATCAGGAGACTATACACATGGCAGGGAAAGATCGCGTGGAAGATGTCCCGAGATAATGTTCAGTTGTTCCGGGAACTCTCCTGGAGTCAATAGATAGGTATCGACAACAACATTACAGCTATAAATGACATAACAATACCACGATGGATCGGAAATACACAAAACCCAATAGAATTACATGGATTTTACGACGCATCCGAACGCGGTTATGCATGCGTAAAATCTACTGTAAAATTACGGACAATCATGGAAACACAACTGTCAGACTATTGGCGGGAAACACGAAACTTGCCCCCTGTTGGTGTTCTAGCTCTCGTAGGGTCGTTAACGTTCGGTGGACTGTATTTGTTCAGGTTCGTGATCTGGATCGAAGGGGTTCTTGCTCTTCTCGGGATCAGGATCGTAAATGAAACACTTGTTCAACTGCTTACTGACTACTACGTTTATTGCTCAAAATGTTCCTACTTATGTACTACTCGTAAATCAAGTCTCTCGTCTAGTAGACATGTCGGCGGTCGGCGCGGTGCGCGGGGCGCAGGGGGCGGCGACTCTGTGACTACGACGCTGTGTGCGGGGTGCGGGGTGCGGGAAACGGTGACGCGCTCTCAGATGGGGCGCGGAGCGTGGAGTGTTTTCGTACGTAGCTCGGTGTCCGTAACACCCTCTTGAAGAAAACAATGCTATTGCCGCGCTTAGAACTTTGCGGGGCTTGGCTCTTATCACGTCTTATGAAAACTGTCGTAGAGTCATTAAAGTCACAGACATTCACGATTCACGGTTGGACAGATTCAGCTGTGGTCCTCGGTTGGTTGGTCGGCTCGGTCGGCTTGTAGTATCGTTTAACTTACGGTCCAGATCTCGTTTACTTCCTTCATACAGCTGTTCGTATTTCGTGAAGTCCTGTTCGTAGTTTAAATCAGAACCTATAAGTAAAGGTGCCTACAGGTACGATCGACAGTGTCGATTGACAATGTCGATCGGGAGCCTACGGACATAATCGACATTGTCGATCGACAACGAGAGTTATAGACGTTTTCGAGTTGTTTGGGAGTGCTTCTTGAGAATGTGGCATTAATTTCTAAATCCAAGATGGTTGCCAAGAATTTTCAAAAGTTTATTTTTGGTAATCCTTCTGGACATTTTTATTATTTTTTATATTCGTAATGAGCACCCCCAAATACCCCGAAATCGAAACCCAGCCTGCCATTATTCGAAAAATCGTGCCCGCCATCTTGGATTTAGAAATGAGTGCTATATTCGTAATGAGCATCCCCAAATACCTCGAAAAGGATACCCATATTGCATTTTTTTGATAAATCGTGTACGCCATCTTGCATTTACAAATAAGGCTATATCCGTAATGAGCACCCCCAAATATCTCGAAAACGATACCAAACTTGCCATTATTTGAGAAATCGTGCCCGCCATCTTGCATTTAGAAATGCGAAAAGTCGTGTCAGCCATCGCGTATTCAGGTATAAATGCCATTTCCAGAAGGATTACCAGAAATATTTTTTTTTTAATTCTTGGCAATCATCTTGGATTTAGAAATTAATGCCACATTCTCAATAGGCACTCCCAAACAACTCGAAAACATCTATATTTCTTGTTGTCAATCGACAACGATCGACAATGTCGGTTATGTCTGTAGACTCCTAATCGACACTGTCGATCGACAATGTCGATCGTATGCCTACAGATACTACCTTAAGTTGTCGATTTGCTAATGCACTTAGTCAATCACGTTCCATCGTGATTGCAAAGCTTGTAACTTATCCAATATGGGAAATGTTCTTACTTCTTGACAATATTACTTCTCTGTAATATTGTCAAGGATAATGCTGCGAACGACACTCGAAAGCGCACGAAAATTTGTTTGCTGTTGGCTGATCAACTCGTCGCTTTTTGAAAAACCGCCCCTCTCTTCTGTGTTAGGTTTTTCTGCCCCGTATCGTGTAATGTCACGTAATAATGTAAGTGTGTTCTCGTATAGATGTTTTGTCATACTATATGCGTTTGACGTAAAATACTCTGCTGTCTTGTCTTCGAATTTCAAGAGCTGTAGATGATTTTCTTCGAATTCTTTAATATATACGAAAAGCAGTTCCAATCGTTTTTCAATGTAATCCGCCATTTTCCGAGACGCAGAATCGTTTTTGTCGTTGGATTCCATTTTGCAAATACATTCAGCAATCAACTCTTGACGATGCAGGAAAGTAGCCATGTCATTTGTTGAATCCATAATGTTGTATGTGCAATTTACACGATGTTTTTATGTGGTTAAACTGTATTTCACTGTAGGTTTGGTTCTGTGTAATGGCTTGCGTACTCCACGGTATGTGCACCTCCTCAATCTACCTGGTGAGACCCGCTTGTGGGAGGCCAGAAGACCGGTTTGCTACCGTAGAATACGACACACAATCACACTTCACCAACGGTGAGGATACTCGAAGGACCAAAATGTTGGAACTCGTGCCTATCGTCTGTAATGTTCGTGAAAATGTATATTTGATGGGAATTATATGTTTCCCTGAGTACACCGTTCGGTTGAGGTAGGTTGATGTAATGCACGTATGTAAGGCAGCGTACTGTCCGAAGGTCTTTATTGTCGCAGACTGATGTGAATTTCAAATTTATTTCTGTAAAAAATTGTTTTGCTTGTATGTATACTAAGTTATGATTAAATAAATTTATCTTTACATTTCTTATTCTTACCCCTACAGCATGTGGCACAACTACCCCATCTGGCGATTTACTCCGCACGGATGGGCACGGGCGTGACTGGCCATGGCACGCTAGTATATACAAGAAAACTACCACACCCTATATGCAGTTAGGTGAAGGCACGCTTATTAGCACAACTGTTGTTATATCAGGTAAGATATTTGGTGGGTGTCAGGGTCCAAAATTATGAAGATATTATTTTCTTTGATAAATATAATGACAATTATCGTGATAGTTAGCAATGATAATTATCTATTGATAAACTACCCGATAATTATCCACGCTGATTTGTAGCTATGTCTCTTCAATTTTCGACTAAAAATGACAAATACAGACTACGATTTGTTTTTTGTGGCTTTTTTAAATTGACATTAGACACATTTGTATACGTCTCTGATACAAACACATGACACGACATTGTTTACGGTTGCATTTTGTTGAAATTAATTATCAAAGTATTAAGATAATTATTGTGACAGCTATCATAATAGTTATCAATGATAATTATCACTTTCAAATGGTATAAATTCAATTCAGTAGCAGTAGAGCTTCGTCCATGAAATGAGGTGGTCGAACACCTTATTTTTTCAAAGTATGTTACATAATGTAACAACCCTGCGATCCGAGCTAAGTGTAGGCATTTACGCGCCGAAAAGGCGTGGTTTCCCTAATAGCTCTTTTTTTAACCGATTTCAAAAAAGGAGGTTGTCAATTCGACCTTTTTTCTTGTGTGTATGTTACGCGATAACTCATTTGTTGCACATGTGAGCCGATTTTGATGATTCTTTTTTGTTGGAAAGAGGGTACCTCAGTAGTGGTCCCATTTAAATTTGAAGAAAACATTCCACGTCTAAGTGACGATGACGTGGACGATGGAGCATACACACCTAATTAATACAATTTATAGCGTTCGGGAAATAAGTCCGCAGTCAGGGAAATCGACTAGCCGCTCGACATATAAATGTGGAAGCAAACCGTTTCGTATGAAACCAGGGAATACCCACAACATAGGGGTGTAACCTCAGCCCACGTCTAGTACCCCGATGATGGAAAGGGGAAGGCGGAATAAATCACTCAATTCCATCACTCTCCGTGATTTATCCTGTAGAATATCGATAAGCAGGCAACTTTACGACAGTGTTTAAGGCTCTGTAGCTTCGCCTCTACTAATTCTGAGTCATCTATAAGCCTTTTGGCACACTTGTCGACTGAATCCAAGGTGGCCAGTTGGTATTTAGCAGAGCCATCCCAGAAGCAGCTGAAGCTGTCTCGGTTTGAAGTAACGCCTCGATATAACACGAAAAGACGAAGTCAGGTCAGAGAGACTACAATTTGTGGAGAATAGAAATGCCTGCATTTTGGTAGTGTTAAATTTGAAATTTGATTTCCGATTGGGGCGATTCCAATCTTGTCAAACTCAAACGCTGGATTTTTTCTCCACTGACCCTTGCATTGGTCGAGTACCTGTCCACAACTATGCTGTCATCAGCATACCCAAAGGTGCCTGGGATGAACATATCATTGATATGCAGCAAAGAGTCGCGGACAGTACGGAACCCTGAGGAACTCTCTCTAGAAATATCTATTGCTCGATGTTTGAAGCAGTAGCCTTCTAAGACCTATATATATATATATATATATATATATATATATATATATATAGGTCTTGTCATATATGTACAAGCGGGGTTTGGAATCCGCGCCTCAACGTCTGAATAGAGATACCATACTTGTTCTTATTCCACTATGCTTTTGACGTGTGGTCACATGTGTCTTTATTATTATTATTTTGTAAATTAATTAAATTCACTTGCAGCGGCCCACTGTTTTTGGACGGATGTGGGGAAACTCCAGCCAGCCGAGAACTACGCTGTAGCTGTCGGCAACCTTTACCGCCGTTGGGATGACCCTAGAGACGTTGGTGCTCAGAAATCCGATGTAAGAATTAATAATAATACTAATGTGTCAGTGTGTACTACCACACCGATTATGCCATCCTCATCATAACCAACGCAATCGAAATTTTTAGCGAAATCGGGTTTTTTTATTAATCACAGCCCCTCTGTTTCGATTTTATTGTTAAGCGAAATCAGCGTAAGTGACATTTTTCAAAGAAAAAGAAATTTAGGGGCCAATATCTCGAAAGGGATCAGTGGGACGGCCGCCTACTAGATGGACGGATGACCTGGTAAGGGCGGCAGGTAACCGATGGATGCACATCGCGTCAGGCCAGCTAGACTGGCAATCTTTGAGGGAGGCCTATGTTCAGCAGTGGACGTCTTCTAGCTGATATGATGATGATGACGATCTGGAAAGTGACCAAAATGCAAATGCGTTAGTTATAACAACGAGGGCAGAACTGCGTGGTCTCAAACTGGGAATTCCATGTACTATGAGATAGAATTCACCATTTTACAAAATATCACTTCTCAAAGTGTATTATTCCATAGCATTTAAGTTTATTTGAAAAGAGCAATCCCTAGAGTTTCTTGCTCGTTCTTCTCGGGGAAGTCAGCGTAGTGAACGAGCAGTAACTTTCCACCAGAGAATATGTGCGAGGATGTGTAGCGGCGCCGTGAAACGGTGTGATATTTTCCACCAAAGCTGTAGTAGCTAGGCGGTGCGAGGATGTGTTACTCTTTTCAGCTATGCCTGGGCGGGGTACGGTGTGGTAGGGTGGGCGGTGGCGATGTGTCAGTGTCAGTTAGTGTCATACTTTCAATAGCTCTAGTTTTTAACACCGTTTTGCACACATTCCTCGCCCGCATCTCTCGCACACATCTGTCGCTATTTTTAACCGACTTCAAAAAAAGGAGAAGGTTCTCAATTCGTCTGTAGGTTTTTTTTTTGTATGTATGTTACGCGATAACTCCGGTACCTGTGAACCGATTTTCATGATTCTTTTTTTGTTGGAAAAGGGGTACTTAAGGGGTACCACTATGGAGTGGTCCCATTTCATTTTGAAGAAAATAATCCACCTCGAAGGGTGGTTGTTCACGCATGAAGATTTATTTTTATAAATAGCGCCTAACTTTAATTTAGGAGCAATTACTTTAATGGTTGATTTTGCTATTTCTCCAATTCAAGGCGTTTTTCTCTCAATATACTTTGAGTAGTGAGAACCGATTTTTATTATCTCCAGTGTCAAGTCCTGTATAGTGGCGAGCTAGGGGATATTTCAATAAAACTTAGCAAATAGACGTAATTCCACGTACTTTTGAGGTCGGTTTTTTTAGTACTCTGTACTGATCATTATGTATGTACAAACACTTAGCTCCGCTAATCCTTTTCCACCGGAACTGCGCTAAGCGAGGCTAGGAAAATGAAATAATCCTATTGGTGGATTTTTTCCTCGCACACCGCCCCGCCTTTGGTCCATCTTCGTAACTGTTTTTCATAACTAGTTACGAAAGAAGATTTTTCCTTCGCTGTTTCGTAACCAGTTATTAAAAAGGAATATTTTGGTCCATCTTCGTAACTGTTTTTCATAACTAGTTACGAAAGAAGATTTTTCCTTCACTGTTTCGTAACCAGTTATTAAAAAGGAATATTTAATCCGTATTCAAAACTCCAATTACGAAAACGGATGCAAATTTGTTCTTTCCATAATCAGTTACGAAAAAGGCTTACTTTTTTCTCTTTTTGTATCTAGCTACGAAAGTGGATGCTTTTAATCTTCTTTTTATAACTAATAAAATGCATATAAATTAAACCGCATATATGCGGTTTAATCTTGCAATTCTTACAATTCCTATAAATTAAACCGCATATATGCGGTTTAATCTTGCAATTCTTACAATTCCTATAAATTAAACCGCATATATGCGGTTCAATTTGTAGGAATAAACATAATTGGTACTAATTTGTCATTTTCTACCTCAAGTACGTTATCGTAGTTAACATACCCAACAACCATGTTATCTATAAAATTTTATTTGGTTTTTGCATTTTATTAGTTATAAAAAGAAGATTAAAAGCATCCACTTTCGTAGCTAGATACAAAAAGAGAAAAAAGTAAGCCTTTTTCGTAACTGGTTATGGAAAGAACAAATTTGCATCCGTTTTCGTAACTGGAGTTTTGAATACGGATTAAATATTCCTTTTTAATAACTGGTTACGAAACAGTGAAGGAAAAACTTCTTTCGTAACTAGTTATGAAAAACAGTTACGAAGATGGACCAAAATATTCCTTTTTAATAACTGGTTACGAAACAGCGAAGGAAAAATCTTCTTTCGTAACTAGTTATGAAAAACAGTTACGAAGATGGACCAAAGGCCGCCCCGCTACCTCGCAAAGCTTTTGTAGAAAGGCAGCCAAGTGACGTTTTCAAGTGTAAATTTATTTTATCTATGGAATACGTTCTTTTGACTTGACTTGACTTGACAAATTGATTCTGCGGAGAATGGAATGGAATGGTGGAATGGTGGAATGGATGGTGGCGTAGCATCTATCGTTGTCGCCTGGGGCCAACCTTAAATTTGCTGCCACCTTTGTGTTCGCTTTGTCGAATAATGGAATTTATATCGAGTTCTTAGGTTTTCGCGATTGTTACACATAGGAAATGAAACTATTTTTCCGGATTTAAATCGCGTATATTTGTTTTTTCAAACAAACCGATGTTTCGGGCCCTTTACAGGTCCCATGGTCACGGTTGACTGAGGTGGTACAGTCTTCAACCAGTTATGTCTAATATTGATGCAAACCACCCTATTTTTTCACTATAGTTATTAATTAAATACCTTGTTTTTAATTTTACAAAGAAAACATTCCAATTTACGCTATATTAAGTTTTACAAATTATTTTATTGAATGAATTTTTATTAAGTTCAATTTATTATTAGTTAATTAATTATATTAATAGAAATTAGAATAAACTAAAACATATTAATTAGTACTGCAGTCTTATGTCTGTTTGGGATTTTTCATTAGAGGAAATACTGGATCCCAAAACTGGTGGTACGGAGAAACCATCTTCCCTGTTGAAATTAGGATGTTTTTTTAATTTCAATGGCCTCTCGCAGCATCCTGGGTAGATAACGGACTTCTTTTGCAAGGACCTGGGGTTTGTCAAACTTCATTGAATGTGTAGGTTTATCCATGACATGCTCGCAGACTGCAGACTTGTTTACGCGACGGTGTTTGACATCAGCTATATGTTCTTTGACGCGGGTACAAATACTTCGCTTTGTTTGTCCAATATAAGAGAGACCGCACTCACAGTCTAGCTTGTAAACTCCTGCATCCTGTAAGGGGATGTTACATTTCAAGGGTCTCAGGAACTGAGAAATCTTCCTCAGGGGCTTGAAATAGGTCTTGATAGATGCGCGCCTGAGGACTCTTCTTATTTAATTACCTATGAAATGTGATCCCGTTTGTTTTGTAATTAGATGTTTTGCTGTTTTTCCCACACCTCCGAATGGAACAGCCCCCCATTCTCAGAGATATTATCTTTATTGCAATAAATACAGTATATTTTTGGAATATACGGAGACGTACACACCGGTCAGTTATTGGCGCTGCACTATTTCAGTTTTCTAATTTGTGATTTCAGCGCAAACGAGAGTTGATATTTAATCTGATGATAATTAAGTGATATAAGGCCCATTTGCCTGGTGACTTGCCAAGGATGGATGGCCCTTGTTTCGTCTCTGTTTCTGGTTATATACTCGATGGGTACGAGCAACAGTCATCGTATTTCTGTGTTGTCATTGTATTTGTTTGTATGCAATAATAGTACATTTCTGCCGTGTCACAGACATCTCTATTATCTTAAGATAGGTGAGTTACGCGTAACAAGGCTTAACTGAATTATTTCGGTCTACTTTATAAGAGTACAGAATATTATTTTTATTGTAAAATGTATTTACGAAGATATAGTATACGCCAAATGCTTGCGTCTCATTAGTTTAATGTTATTATAACGCGATCTTCATTTATCTAAACTTAATTGAAATAGGCAATACAATAACACAGCGTTTGCAATAATACGTATACCTGTCGCAATTCGAGTTACGTGATATAATTCTTAATAAGTATGCAAAATAATAAATATAATTAAGAATTATATCACGTAACTCGAATTGCGACAGATATGCGTATTGTCGTAAAATATTATTATTCAAAGTGGATTTGCCAATATCAGAATTATTTTAATCACAAAAAAGCCTATAGTAGTAAAGGTTAACTACATCGATTTTGCGTTAAACAATTATCATTGTGCTAGTTAATTACACGATTTTGAGATATTGTATAAAATTCATTTCAAACCTAGTTTCCCAAAAGTAATGGTTTTAAAAATAAGTGAGATTGGTGTGACACGGCAGATTTGTAATAAGGGCAAATAAGATATTACTTATGAGGGTCTACTAAAAGACCGAAGCCAAAGGCTGAGAGCTTTATTATCTCGAGTTTTGTATTTTTTTATCGTCTGTGGTACATACAGTGTGTTGTCATAACATTTGCGAGGAAACAAATACAATTTATGGTATAGTTCACAACTTTTTATGTTTTTATTTCGTTCTTCCATAGATAATACACCTCGAACTAAAATGTTTTAAAAAGCAAAACCGTATACAGCCATGTTGAATTGTAAAAAAAATTGCTAAATTTTTATACATAAAATAATTAAGGTCAAAAATTATAAGAAATTGTTAATAATAAGTATTTAAGTGGTATGTCGCCCAATTGCAGTTAAATTTCTGTTTAGATAACATTATACGCGAATGTTTTAATTTTGAACTTAAGTAACCTCCTTGCTTGAACTTGAACGTGATTATTCAAAAACATAAGTTGTTTAACTTTTGTAGGTGTTAACCGTTGCAATCGAAAACACTGCTTATTTTTTAACGTTAAAATGTACGTATAAAAAGCTTGCTTGTAAAAGCGCTTTTCACTTACACGATTTTTAGTTTGACGCTTAAAAAGTCGTTTAGAAAAGCATCTAAGTGCATAGAGTTTATGTTTAAAAAAGCTTGCAACGTTATATTGAATTAATTTGTTTAGAAAACATAGATGGCGCTACATGAAACTCAGGCACGTTGTAAAAAATGAAATTGTTGAGTAGATATAGAACTGACCAGTGACCAACGCTTACGCTTAAAATGAAAAGCGTGCTAATTTTAAAAAGCAGACTTTTTAAGTACTTTTCGTTTAAACGCCCACCTCTACTTATAATAACGAGGTTTTGCTTCGCCTCGCACGGGTTACCTCGTTATTAGCTATTGTACATTTTATTATTTAATAAAATTATTTAACACATCCAACTTACTCCTTTTTCCGCTGATAATTTCCAGATAAAGGACATCAAAATCCCAGTACGATTCCAAGGCGCCATCACCCATTACCAGGAGGATATCGCCATATTGAGAATGACTCAGGCATTCGAGTACAAAATCTACGTGAGACCAGTATGTCTCGACTTCGATGTTAACTTTGACAATACACAATTGCAGAGCGGGAAGTTGGGAAAAGTAAGTTCTTTTTAGAAAGTATCGGTATTGAGGTAAAGTATATTCATAAAAATACGATGGCAAACTTGCGACTAATTTATTATATTATACATGGTGACTTTTTATCACTAGCCAATTTTAGTATTACGATCTTTGATGAAAATGTAATATACTTGGTTGTTTGTTCTAGTATCACCTAGTACTAAAATGATGAGATATGTCCTCCTAAACTTTACCAAAAAACGGCCACGTTTTAAGCACACAACGCGATCGCATTTCGGCCTATGCAATCGTAACATGCTCTCCGCGCCTCCGCCACCCGCTATCGCACTCAATTATATATATATTTATAAACTTAATAACCTATAGCGTAACACTCACAATTGTTTAAAAAAGAAATATCTAAATAACATCTGCATTACGTATTTGTTTTTGGCTAGGAAAGAAATAACCAATTTTTCAACTTATTTTCATTTCTACACCACAGCAACTAGAATTATTTTCCACCCTTGAGTGTGTACTGTGCTCCTGGTGACTACCATTGTTCGGTTCAAATGGCAGTGGGCTGCGAGGATACGAAGTTCCGAGCGGTCTTCACTGTTCCGGGCTCGGTACTTGCTCGGATCCGGCTCGAAGGACCAAAGTTTTTGGTGATCTAGCTCTCGTAGGATCGTTAATGTTCGGTGGACTGTTGCTCTTCTCGCGATCAGGATCGTAAATGAAACACTTGTTCAACAGTTTACTGGCTACGTTCATTGCTCAAAATGTTCCTACTTATGTACTGAATCAAGTCTCTTATCTAGTAGAGGTGTCGGCGAATAGGCGGTCGGCGCGGTACGTGGGGCGCGTGGCGCGGGGGGCGGCGACGCCGGACGACGCTGTGTGCAGGGTGCGGGGAACGATGACGCGCTCTCGGTTGGGGCGCGGGGCGCGGAGTGTTCTCGTGTGTGGCTCGGTGTCCGTAACACATTTTTTTACAAAAATCATTACATTCGGCCATCCGACAACGTGCAGACTCCGGCAAAAAGCCAACAGACTTATAAACGACAATATTGTAAGGTACTATATCAATAAACCCAGGCGTTACAGTACAAGAGGTCAGCATACTTAAAATTAACAACAATTTAAAAGTACTATATGAATAATTACATTTGGCCAAACTGATATTTTAACCATATATATGCTATGTAATCATCATTAAACAGAGTGACAGTGTATTTTTGTATTGTGGTGTAGTAATAAATGATTTAGTTCTATTCTATTCTAAAATCTTTGTAAAGATTGGACGTAATTTCGAATTTACAAAGATGTAACAAATTCTGGACTGTAAATATAATTTAAACTTTACCCAGCTAGCATATCGTTCAAAGTTCAATACCCATTGAGGTCTTAGGTTTTCGCGATTGTTACACATAGGAAATTAAACTATTTTTTCAGATCTAAATAGCGTATACCTATTTATTTTTTCAAACAAAGACGCAAGGCGCTCACTACGAGGAAAAAATAACCTAAGCACGCGCTCAGAGAGGTAAGAACGTTGAGGAACGTTGCCCGCGCAGTGCAGTCGTGCGGAACCGAATGCTCGGGTTGTATTAGGATTGTAATGAAAGATTTGCTGAGCGCTTGCACTGTCGAGGATACACTCGGCGGTAGTAACTTATCCCGTAACCCCGCGCGAATAACTGAACCCTGCCCAAAGTAACGGCTGATAAACACCGAAACCCGATAAAATATAGAAAAGTTAGTTTTATACGTTAAAACGCACACCGTTAAACCGCGACACCATTAAAACCAGTATACAAGCCACTCCACCACGTAGGTCGTAAGTCTTGGACTTACTTGATACATGTCAGTGACTCACTGATGTCATTGAGGTTTATTACCTGTAGTTCCATGTACTCAGTTCCGCGTGGAACAATATTGTAAACTGAAAATGTCACATTTATTCGCATTATTTCTAAATATATTATATAAATATAAATGTAATTTCAATCTATTTTTACACGCGACTTTTCTTCCAACGAACGGAAATTCTGTCTAAACTAACCTTGCTTTAGATACCTATCTAGCTTATTACAGAATTATTTTTTTTAATTCTAATGTAAGTGTGCATTTGACCTCCATCTCACCTGATAGAAAGTGACGATGAGGTCGACGATGGAGCATGCACACCTTGATAATACCTATTCACTCTCGCCTTGAAAAGGTCCAAGTTATAACGTTCAAGGAACAAGTCTGCAGGCAGGGAATTCCACTCCATAGCCGTTCGCCATATAAATGTGGAAGCGTAACGCTTCGTGCGAATCTTTGGAATATCCACAACATAGGGTGGAAGCCAAGCCTACGCCTAGTCCCCGGATGATGGAAAGGGGAAGGCGGAATTAAATCGTGTAATTCCATCGCACACTCTCCGTGATATATCCTGTAAAATACCGATAGGCAGGCAACTTTACAGCGGTGGTCAAGGCTCTGCAGCTTCGCCTCTACTAATTCCGAGTCACCTATAAGCCTCTTGGCACGCTTATCATTTGAATCCAAGGTGGCCAGTTGATATGTAGCAGAGCCATCCCAAAGGTAGCAACAGTACTCCATACACGACCGGACTTGAACGTATTAAAAAATATTTTAAAACACGCACACGTCAACCCTTAGCACTCGGTCCGGCAAATTAAGCGTGTTTGCAGGACTTACCTCGAGTACCCTGCCGTTGCTTTGCGCAAGTAGGTACATTCGTTGCGCAACTGCATGGTTTGTAAAACTGTGATTATAATCGAAGATAACGGGGTTATCGTCAAAGATAACGGGGTGGCTACCGGAAATCTCTTCAACGTGTTAAATAATTTTTTTCTTATAGGTGGCAACTTGGAATGTACCAGGATTAAATATAAACAAGCCTCCAGCCCTGAAAGTGGTGGAATTGTTCTATATGGATATCACAGAGTGCCTAGCTAATGTACCTCCGGGTTTCAGGGAGTACATCACTAGTGACAAGATTTGCGCTGGATATAGTAATGGTGAGTGAGTAAAGAGAGTGTTGGTTTTTTGTAAAGTCCATTTTTTAAACAAGTTGCATTCCGTTTGAAGAAATGTTATAAGCAAAAATTATGAGTAGATAAATATCTACATATAAATTTAAAAGTATTAATTTTATATAAATTTAACGTGGTTAAAACCAACAAATATTAGTTAAAATCTGTCTTTTTTGAAGACGGCGTAAAATCGCATTTGCAGGGCTGTCGGTTTTCATAAAGTTTTAAACATAAGTATAGTTGATGTAGTCTGTTTTATGGATAGAATGAATGAATGAATGAAATATTCTTTATTGCACATTACATTACAATTAAAATACAATACAATAGCTTAAGTTTAATAGTAGTAGTAAGTTAATGGACAACAGGCGGTCTTATTGCTTTGTAGCAATTTCTTCCAGGCAACCTTAGGATAGACATTTTTGATATGCAAAAAGGAGTGCAACCAAAGAATATCATCATAAGTACACTACATAATAAGTAATAAGAAAAATATATACATATACGTAGATA